CTGGGATTCTGTGATCTCCATTCGCAGATTTTTTTGAAGAATCTATTAAAATTCTCAGCTGAGAGGAGGAGTCTGGAAGATTAGCAAAGCCATAAAAAACTTGAAGTTCGGTGTTTAAACCAGAGCACCATCACAATTCTGGATTAAATATGAGCCACTAGGCTTAAACTGCAGGGCCAGTTAGCTCTGTAGTAGTAGCTACTGATGCTTCATGGTGTGGTGCAGGTAAAATAAAGCTGTGAATTCATCTTTTCTTATGAATGTAGTGTTACCCCATTGTAAAGTTTTGTCCATCCTCTGGCAGGAAAAAATGCATTAAATTAGTACTGCATATAACTGCGGCAATGAAGAGGAGCAATAACTACTTCTCAGTGTATTTCAGCTATTAGTAGAGAACAGTGATCACTTTGTGACTGGATTAGAATTGACATAACAGATTATTATTTTTTATTCTAGGCACGATGATGTCAGGTGGCTTCTTCTTGCTTATCTACTTCTTTCATTTTGTTATTCTTGCTCTTGCAAAAAAGGTGGAATGTTTCAGGCTGAGAGGTTTGATGCTTTTCCAGCTTTGGATTTGTCTCGGCTAATGGGCTAACAGGCCCTTTTTCTTTTGTCCTGTTGCAGTTACAAGATTCTGTGTGCTGATAGAAATGTTTAGCAAAGTTTTAAAATCTGAAATTCATATAAATATGCATATTTCTGTGTGATTTTGCCCTACTGGATTTATTAGTAATTTCACCTTCCAGGAAGTTACAAAGTAGCAGCATTTTTTGTGGTCACCATGCTACAAGCTGTATGCTGACACTTACTCATCTTCCTTCTACATTGCATCCTGCCCAAGGAACAGGACTAAGTATTTTGTGTGACTCCAGTTTTGGAGACTGGAAACTATTTCCATGTTGCAGTGCTCACACAGAGTCAAGTCAAATCTAGTTCACTGCCCTCAGGAGAGATAACAGCAAAGATCCAAACACATAGATGTTTTGATGGAAATTGAAAAGGATACTGCTTAGGAGGCAAGAAGAATGCTGTGCTGTGTTATATTAGGACAGAACCTAGGAAGATGGCTTTCAAGAACAGAACTGTGCAAATCTGGGACAGTTGGCAGGGTTTAAATCACATGCCCTTTTGATGAGGTCTAAAGCACAGCAGCAGGGTCTGCCAGAACTTCAGCTGGGCTATGGCTGATAATCAAGAGGATGCTGAGGATCATGCACTTGATACTTCTCACACAGAACTGTGCAGGTCTGGACATGTACAATGTACATGTACAAACAGGTGCACAAATCCTTATAAAAATGATTTAGACAGACAGTTGCTGGTACTACTGCTGGTGCACACAACATAGTGAATTCACATTCTTCATTATGTTTAAATTTAATAAAGTTGCAGCAATAATTCTGATAAAATAATCTTCTGAGTGTGTGTTTTCCTCAAATAAAGTGTATCAGGTGTCTTTTAATATATAAAAGTATAGAAAGAGTTCCTGAAAATACATGAACTTCCTTCCTGTTTTATTCTAGATATTGGGAAGAATGCACCGCTTCATCATTTCCATTTAATAAAGTAACATCTCAAATGTTTTCATTAGTAATCACTATTACATCTTCCAACTCCCAAAGCATGATTCACACTCACCCTGCAGCTACTTATTTAAAAAAAAGAGAAATCTTTACAAAGAAATAAAGATAGCAAGAGAAAGAGGTCTTCACCAGCCTTTCTAATAAAGGATAAGTGTAGTTTCTCAGAATGTAAGGAGTGCTGACTGTGCCAGTAAATTGAACTTTTTATTTGAGGGAGCAGGCAAGAATCCCTAGAAGGTCTGGCATTGTTTATTTTGTTACATTCATGTAGGTGGTGATTTTGGTAGTCAACAAGGTCTGGATGCACAACTGAGAATTTTTTCTGTTTATTAAGAAGCTACTTGTGGGTGGCAAATAAGAGCACTGAGTTCATTAGACCAGAGCCGTCAGGGAATCCCAGGCTTAAAAACTACTGCAAGTAGCAGAGGTTTGATGCTTTGCCACAATGGTTTCAGCATCTCTTTACTAGCAGATGCAGCCTCAAAGCTGAACTGTCCAGGGAAAACTGATCAGCATCTGAACAGAAACGATCCGTGTTGTCATCTTCAGAGGCTACTTTGCAGCACTGTGCGCGGAGACACAAGTTTCCACTACAGGCTTTGGAGTTTTGAAGATGTGCGTATTATTCCAACGTAATGAAGTTAGGTACCCTCTGCAGGTTGTCATGCGTGTCCTGTGCAGTGCTCACCAACAACCGCTGTCTCTTTCTTGAGCCTTGGGTGGATGGAAGTAAAGCATTACAAGATTAGATTGCTGCTGTAGGATAATTCATCTTTTCATTTCTTCTTTGACTGCAGGACATGTCTGTGGTGACTTCAGGAGCACTACAGTGCAGCTTCAGAGCTTGTCTGGAAATCACCTTTTCCAGCTAAACTTAGAGGCCATTTCAGTTTCTTGTTTTCAGTTTGTTTGTTTTTTTCTGCTCTCCTCTCCTTGCATGCTAAAAGAAGTCAGTGACAGAGGAATTTGCACGCCCTTTCCTAATGTTATCGGCTGGGACTAACTCCACTCTATAATCAAAACTATCTTCTCAGCAGAGGAGTATTTATACCCTTCTGCTTAGTAGCTGGTTGATTTAACTGCTTTCTTCGTTTGAGCTCAATAATACATTCCAGCAGTAACACAGCTACTGTGTTTCATCTACTAGCATGAGAGGAAGTGTAAAACAAACAAATATAAAGGCTAAATATAATCAAGGGCCTCACTCAACTCCCAGGTATCAGATTCGATGCTAATCTGTAACCACAAAGGCTATGACCAGGCGTCTTCATGTGCTGAAGATGTCATTGGTTTAGGCCTGCTGGCAGCAGATGGAGATGACCTGCATCTGAGTGTAGAAATCACGAGTCCTAATTCGGTCACGGTCAGTCAATTTGCCTACGTATCTGAAGGAGGTGGTTTGCCTGAAGTTCACTCAAGAAAAGTAATATAATTCATTTTACCACAGAAATTAAAACCTCCAAGAGAGGGGCAGCTGTTTACAATGTACATATGTGTTCACAACCTATTTCTTCTCATGTTTTGCAAATGAAATAAAGTAAATCGAATGTTTTATGGCTTCAGTAGTAGCTGGATCAGGTAAGAAATAAATTAGTGTATTTATTTGTGTTCTGGTTTGGTCATTAGTTTAGGAAATATGTATGTATTGTTCTGCAGTTATTACTTTCCTAACCATAATGTAGGAAAACAAATTCTAAACTTAAGGTTTTTCACTATATATGTGTATGTCTGTATATATGTATGTATGGGTGTGTCTACATCTGTACTGATTTCTTGTATTTGAAAGAAATCAGTATATCCCTGTTTCTTCCAGTTGGTCAAATAATTCCTCCCTATATATTTTCACATGTATGTTAAATTAAAAGCTGTGTGGCCTCCTTTGTTTAATAAGAACATAAATTTTCAGGTGGACTTTTTGAATTAGTGAATCCAAAACATAATGTGGTGCTATGATTAATATTGTTAAATTGGAAAAAATCTTTGCTCGTAGTAGCTGCAAACCTATTTGAGGATGCCAGCTTACTCTACTTTATTCTTCCAAGCAAAACAACCGCTAAACAAATATGTACTTTTCAAATGGAAATACTTTCAAGTTAGGTGAACTCTGAAAGTGCACTTTACTTACATATGTGTAACATTTTGTTGACCTTAGAACTTTTATTCCCTCACTTATTCCCTAGCTGTCGTCTTGTCGCTTGACTATCAATTCAAGAACGCTATAAAAATCTGTATAGGAATACAGATTTATGTTTTTTTTAACCCAAACAAATCAATTTAAAATGGAACCCAACAATTTTATGACAAGAATTGTATGTATTCGCTTACAGTAAAAGGATACTGGTGTAAGTGATTCAAAACATTCGTGTAAGTTCCAGCAAATATAAACCCTCTAACAACGTGTGACGCCTGTCACCAGCTCTGCACTGAAACCTCTGCAACTTATTCATGTGCTTACATGTTTACATGCACAAAAATAGGTATTGGCACTTGCTTATGTTCTTCTCTTTAGCAAGCAAACCTCCCTGGCTAAAGTGGTGTTGCTGTAATTGGTTCAACTGCAGGCTGTGGAGAAGACACATGGGAAGCACTTCCTAATGTCTTCATGGTGTCTCATATATATCAGTACATGTCTCAGCATATATTTATTTGAAAATTTCAATGGTAATTTAACATCAAGTTCTATTTTAATCTTTCTAAGATGTGAGGTAACTGATTTTATATAGCTCAATTACTGTGAGAATTATTTATAAAGATGTTTATAGGCTCTGATTTTATAGCCTAGAAGCACGGGCTTGTTTCCCCCACACAGGATATTAAAAAAACAACCAAACAACAAAGTTAGAATTAATTTTCAGGTCATTAACTACACTGAAGGATGTGTAAGCCTCTGCTCTTTTTTGGATCATTAATAATATGATGTAATGTTTGTAGTGGAAATTGTAGCTAGCCATTGTTTTGTGGATTAAATACGATATCCCGTAAACAGGAGTTCTCAGTATTATTTATGTGCTTTGATTTCTGAGTCTCTTTTTGGTTTTTCTTGCTCTAAAAATGTCTCTGAGTTCATGTTAATTTATATGATGACCACAGAATTAAAACTGCCGATAATGAAAACCTTCTTGGGAGCCTGCAGTAAAACACTGGATGCTCATGCTCCATACAATATTCTTTGGTAACTGGCAGACGTATTTACCAGTGAAACAAAAACAGGGGTGGGAGGATGTTGCTATTTCCAGCTTCCTCGAGATTTGCACGTCGCAATCATTCTGTACTTTGTGTCCTGACAATATTTTTTAACGGCTTTGAGACCCATTAGATTGAACTAGGCAAATTAAAAGCAAAACTAAACTGCCTCCATTTTATGAATTAAACTTTTGAAACTTGAAAGCTGAAGCTGTAGTGTTCAGATTTTAAAAGTTATGAAGTAAGTCCAGTTAATAGTGTGGTGTTTCTCCTCTGTTTACTGGTTGAGTGTTGCCCCTTTGTTTTAAGCAGATGCAGAACAGGGTACATCTTTCAGTGGGATACCAGGAAAACGTCTTTACTTTGTTTTATCTTTACAGAAATTTTGTTTGCAAGCTCCTTAATGAACTTTAAAAATATTTTTGTCAGCTTACAGAGCACAGAGAGATTCGTAATACGTATGGTCTGGATTCCCTTTGCCATTGCCCTTTGTACGAAGAAGCCATGCACTTAGCAGAGGAAGGCAAAATTTACTCACGAGTGTTAAGGTATTGATTTATGTCTGTTTAACTGTTTCCAAGAAAAGCAAGAATTAAAGTTAAATATTCTATATGGAACTCATTTGTTAGAAGTTACTTGCACTAAGTAGTTTTTAGACTTAGTTGAATTTTCTTGTGCTTCTTTTTTTAATGGTTTTGAAATCTTTTCTATTTTATATAGGACTGAAATGTTTGAATGTCTAGGAGACAGTGACTTCCTTGCTAAGCTTCATTGTATTCGACAAGCTTTTCAGGTAAATAGTAAAGAGAACAGTTTGTCTGTCTTGTCTTGTTAAGCCTAAAGTTCATGGCATTGAAACTATCAATGCACTACCTGTGCAAGCATTTTGACAACATATTCTGTAATTAAAGATTTTCTTGTTGCTTTTACATTTCTGTGTTTCTAAACCGGGATGTGTTTGCAGGGGAGTCCCAGTTTTGTGGTTAGCTTTGCACCAAAGGCTTATTAGGAACTTGCCTACTATGCTTGGTTGTAATTATATGAAACGTAATTGAAGTGTTCAAGGTCACTTCGTGTAACCTGTGAATGAATGTGTCTGTATTTTATGAAACTTTTTCCAGGTAATTCTTTCGGAAACAGCAAACAGAATATTTCTTGCCGAAAGTGGAAGAAAAATTTTGTCTGCTTTAATTGTGAGAGCACGAAAGGTAAAAGCCTTTTTTAACTAATGTTTTATTGTTAACGTAACTTCTACCAGAATTCACTGTCCGGTGTAAATAAACCATCTCTCTTGGCAAGTTTGCTTGATACTTACTGCTTTTATATTATAGAATCCAAAGAAATTTGAAGATGTCTTCGATGAAATGATACATTTTTTGGAACAAACAGATCATTGGGACAATACTGAAATGGAACTTGCTGCTAGAGGAGTAAGTCTGAATTTCTGGAATGTGCTTTTACCCTTGATTATGCAAACAAAAGCAGACAAAATAAGTTTTTGCAGTCCAGAACTGTGGGACAGGCAACTCTTTTTTTATTTATATTGCTGACTTAGAAGACTGGGATCCATCACTGCCGTTTAGTATCAGCACATTATTTTTTTAACTTCTCCTTTACTGACAAAGTATCGTTAATATTCATTTTAAAACATTATAAATCTGCCTGTTAATACAGAGTTAGAATACGGTGCATGCCGAATTCCACTGCTGAAAGAGAAATTAGGTTACTTAGGTCATGTTCTCATTTAATACAGGTGAAAAACCTGAATTTTTATGATGTTGTTCTGGACTTCATTTTAATGGATTCATTTGAAGATTTAGAAAATCCACCAATATCTATACAGAATGTAGTAAATAACCGCTGGCTGAATTCTTCTTTTAAAGAAACAGTAAGTATTTATGTGTCATCTTCATCATCATTCTATTGTACGTTAGATTAAGTAGCTCATATCATCAATGCTGCAAAGCAAGCAAGCAAACAAAAGTAACTGAACACAGTATAGGCATTCAGATGTTGATAACTTTTCACACTTTTCAGTTTATTTGTCAAATAGATCTCATCCCTGTGGTACAGATGTGCAGGCTACTGCCATGGTCAGCTGGTAGAGGTATTACTGTCATCTCATCCATTTCTATCTAGAAACTGCTAGTTTTCCTTTTAATTTTGTCTTTCAATTAATATATTCCCTCTAGAGGAATAAAAAAAGGTAACATGCATATATTTATTTTGTAGTTATGTGATAACATAGTGTTTTGTTAATAATAAGTTAATGAGTTCGTTATCTTGCAGTACTGAAGGAGAATCGGATGAGGATAGTTACAAGCTGGAAGGGGAAAAAAGCCTGGTACTGACAGCAGTATATTGTACTTCACAGGTCCATATTTGGACAAAACTCCTTAGCTGAATCTGAAGCTATTGCAAGAATGTTTTTGCTAAAATGAAAAAGGACATTTCAATGTGTTCACATGCTACTTAACATCTAAAATAGTCCCTTATGTCTGAGCGCATACTTTGGTATATAAGAGACTGGTCCTCAGTTAACCCCAGTAAATGTTGCTAATGGTTGCAACTTTAAAATCAGTCAAGGATGCCAAATTATACTTGAATTAAACTAAAGAAATTGTTGCAATGTAAGATTTTAAAGTAACGTTTTACATTTAGGCTGTGGCTTCAAGCTGTTGGTCAGTACTGAAGCAGAAAAGACAGCAAATGAAGGTAAGTTGCCTTGCGCATTATGTGGACCAAAGTTACTGACTGACTCCTAAGAATTTCAAGTTCTGTCCTGTAGCTTTGGCAAAATAAATTACAGATCAACCCTTAATCCTGTTGACATGTTAGTTAAGAGGCTGCCAGTTGTATAAGGTTAGCTCATGGGGCTCTGATACCAGTTTTTTAGCAAAAATCTTAACTGAAAGTTTTCAACCCAGTTTAAGTCCAGCCAGCAGTGGCGATGGTAATTTCTCTGACTTATGGCCCCACAACGTGTACCTCATTGCAGGCCAAGGTCATTAATTCCGTATCTCGCCTGTGTACGCTAGGATTCTCAACGCCATCTCCCTGCGTCATCTCCACAGCTAAATACAATGCAGTCCTGTCCCCTGACCTGCCTGAAGTACTGGCAGGAACTCTCTTGCAGCCTCCTTCAGCCCCCTCTGCATCCTGAGCTCTCAGGGAAGGAGCTCTGCAGATTTCAAGGCAGAATTCCTCTGCGCCAGCAGCTCCTTACTTCCACCTTTGGAGGCTTTTATTAGACCTGGGAGGCAAACGCCCCCGCTGTGCAATGGCCAGCCCAAACGCAGAGCTGTGGCTGGCTGCAGGACGTCCATAGCCATCAGAAGTGGTTTTGCATACCGCAGGTGAGGGATCTCTGCTCAAGTTATTGGCACTGACACCTTTCCCTGATTCTCAGAAAAGCCATTTACATGACTCGTAACCCCTAAAGACATCTTTCATCATAAAAAAAAACTTTCTTCCAGTGGCAGTTGGTATTTTGTAAAAGGTCTTCAGCTACCACTGTGTCCTAAGATTTGAGATCTTGCCATCCCTGTGTCAATACGGTTGGGAAATTTATAGAAACAGATTTTTTTCTACAGTAGTTTGATATATCTCCAAAATAGATGTTATAGTAACCGTTATTTTCATCTCTGTTTCAATGAACAACTACCTTTCTCTGTAGTTCCTTTGTATACTGAAGTCTCAGTGTTTGCAAGTTTGTAAATGTGTGAGTAACTTTACTCCTTGGGACCGGTTTCATCAGCACTGCTGGAGTCATTCAAAAGTGCAGGTGGTTGAGCACCAGGGACGTCTTTGTGCCAAGGAGACCAATTGTACCAGAAGGAGTTTGAGGAACTTAAATTTACTTACAGACAGTTCTCTATGTAGTGTTTTAGGTTTTAATTTATGATTAATTTCTATTTTGATTCTTTTATAAATTAACTGCAGTTGTAAAATTATAAATATATGAGTGTACAAAATAAACTGTATTATGTAGGATACATAAATTCATACTGTATTCTATTTTATGAGTCCATGAAGGTTGTAAAAGTAACAACAAGATGGGCATTCACAGATATTTTATGTTTTTCTTTAGGTTTAAAGGTGGATCCTTGTAAGGTGTAATTATTTTCCAAACAAAATTATGCAAGTTGCTTGCTTTAGGGGCTCAGACAGGAATTACAGAGTAAAATTATCTGATCTGTCATATGGGAGTCAGAGTAGGTTATTCACAATCATTTTGGGCTTCTGCCTGTTCATCTTGAAATATTTAAAATCCAGTGTACCACTGAAGTAGAAATATTTTCTAGCACAGTCGTGGCACTTGTTTGGCGCAGTCACCCTGTGACTTGAAGGAGTTCACGTTACGACAGCCCTGAAGCAGAAGGTGTCTTAGGCTTCTCTGAAGACTTAATTTTCTAGAACAGAGCTTTATACTAAATTGACTGTGTAACTTTTTTCTCCAATTTTTACATCACCAGGTGCCTGATGGATTTTTTGCACATTTCTACGCTATATGTGAACATATCAGCCCTGTTTTGGCGTGGGGCTTTTTGGGCCCTAGAAATTCCCTTTATGACCTATGCTGCTTCTTCAAGGTTTGCAATTTGTTTTATTATTCCCACTTATCTTAATTTAATACAAAAATCTTCCAGATTAAAAGAATTGAGGGTCTTATTTATAGGCATATATTTGGGATTAAGGATTAAGACTAGCAGTAAGAAACCATTAAAATAAGTATTTTCTTATTAATTGTTTTAAGCCTAGAACTGTTTTGCAGTCTGTTTTAGTGCACTTCTATCTTAGCACCAAAAGAATACAGAAATGTTTAGGAAATGAGTCAAAGAAATAGCATTGCACACTTTATTTTCTTCTTGTAAGCGAACACAAGTTTTTCCTCTTCTTTTTCCCCTTTAGGACCAGGTGCTTTTCTTCCTCAAAGACATTTTTGATTTTGAAAAGGTGAGATACTCGACGATGGAGAGCTTGGCCGAAGATCTTATGCAGTTACTGATCCGCCACACTGAACTCTTGATGGCCTATCTCGGGGCAGATTCACTGCGACACGTCGGGGCCTGCGTGAGCGGCCACGGCCACGTCCTGACCACCGGGCTCTTGGAAGCCAAAGTGCAGTGAGCTGAAAAGCCCTGACACACGGAGGGCGTTTTGGCATTTCCCACCTCTCTCTCTAACCCCGAAGCTGTTGTTGCTGTTACTGAGCAAGCATGTGAAAATGTATCATGTCGCTAAGTATGGGAAAGGACTCAGGGAGGTTAAATGTACGTCTGCGAAAAGAACTGGTGAGCATATTCGTGTCTATACCTACATTAAATGTGCAGCTCGGCTGTCACTGTATTATTTATACTTAATGTAACCTAAAGCTTTTTTCTGTAATATTTGGGTAAAGTTTATTTATGAAATACTGTACTTTTGCACAGATGATTTGTAAGTGAAGCTGATGGAGTTGTTTCCTTTAAAGGCTTCTAGTACAAAACGTCCATCACAGAGTTCCCAGATCAGTGTGTGTCTAGGCCTAGAAGGTGTTTTGACCGGGGTATTCGCAGTCTCTGATCCGTATGACACGTGCAATAATCCGACTCACAAAATTTAACATGTTGCCGCTGCCCTGAAGTTACATCTGTGGGGGTGTGAGCAGTCGTTTTGTACTACAGTGTACGAGGGCGATGCGGGAAACGCAGGCACGGTTGGGCAGGAATGACTTCCAGTATGCATTTTTTACTTTATTTTGGTTTAAAATATCTAGACGTCATGGAGGTGTGTGAGAGCACTTATTTATATTCAAAAAGCTATGCTAGCTTCACCAACTCATTTTAAACTTTTCCTTTTTCTATAAAACCGTTACTACCTTATAAAGCAATCCCATTCTCAGTTCATATGTAGCATCTCAAAGTATATTTTTAAATATGGATGTGTGATGAGATTTGTCAGTCATGAGACAGAATCAAAGGCAATGTGTTTTATAATTAAAAGCATTTTTGTCTTCTTCCCTTCCTTGTAGGAAGTCAGGTGTCTATTTGAGAGGAAATGTAAGCAGCCTTGGCCATCCCAGTGCAATGCAAACGCAAAACTGGGGCTCAGACGTGGAGCCCTGACCTTTAGGTAGGAGCACAGCACAGTAAGGAGGCAGGAGGGAACTTGCAGTAAGGCTTTTTCCTGTGCTGAAGGTAATAAATAACGGTGATCTGTAATCTTTGGACTCCTGTAAACCGAAACAAAGTTTCATAGTTAGCTTAGGCCCTTGAGCTACACTAACACGTGCTTTGCCACACAGAGCCAGCCCAGAATCCATCCTGTGTCAAGTAATACGGAATAAGTCATTGCAGAGTAACTCTGAATATTGGGCTACCCAAGAAGCATGTTGTTAAAATCCACCGTATTGAAACAAACCTCGGTTAGAAACATTTCAGCTTTTGCTGCAAACACAACGCAGGACGACGACGTTTGAAAAGGGGGCCTGTGCAATTCCTTAGATTTTACTGAAGCCGACGTTGTGCTCCTTTGTTGTACTCATTTGATACGTATAAAAATGATGACAATGTGTCGTATGGCTTGTATGAAATGCCAACTGATTATAGTTTATATTACAAAAGGTATACTTCTGTGTGTAATAAAACAAATTCCAAATGCTGCTGTTGGCCTATTTCCACCAGTCAAGTTGCTGAACTGGGCACCATGCTCCATGCCATTATTTTTTCTATGCAAAGTACGTCTCAGTACCAGAATGTGAAGCTTTTTTTCACCCATCTCACTTAGCTTAAAGATACTTCTCTCTCCCCATCATGCTGCTCACGAGTATCTGTACTTTGGAAGCTTTTTGCAAGTCTGTGAATGAAGTTACATGGACTATTAAGGTGTCTTTTTGGGTTCAGAATCAATAGGAATAGCTGGAAATAGAAGTAACGGAGTAAAGGGCTTGTTCCACAGCAAGTGTACAACCTGGAGGTTGCACACTGACTGCTGTGGCTTCTCTGGTCTAATAAAGTTATAGGAAGAAAACGACACCTTAACGTTCATCACAGAAAACCAGAAACACACTTTTTAAGAGAAGTAAATGTGTATTGAAGTGAGTGAGTGTCATATTATTTATAAAAGCTCTTGAAGAAAGTGTAACAGTGCCGCACATGCAATTATAAATGCTTTCAGATAATTTATGTTTTGACAGAAGATCGACTTCTAAAGGATTTTTTTTAAACAGAAGAATGAAAAAGGTCTAAAGAAGCACTAAAATATTTAGAAGATGGGTAAGAACCTGGTAAGATGTGGCTTAAACAAATATATCTCTTTAAATCAGGAGCACTTCCATGCACTCGTACAGCTCTTAAAAGTCCAGACTTGGGTTGGAAACTGGATGGATGCATTTTAAATCCGAAGTAAGAACTACACTATCTGGTTGCTGTAAGGTACCACCACCAAGTATTTGATCCAGAAACAGGAAAGGAAGAAAGAAAGAGAGAGAAAGGGGAAGGGAGAAAAAGAAAGAGGGAAAGGGGGAGGCTTTTGATCTCTGGGTCTCTTTGGACCTTTTCCCAAAAAGCATCCACGTGAACTGTCCTTCCCAGCTCCAGAGACGGAGCTGTGCGTTAAATGGGCGAGAGCTGGGCTGGAGTCAGCTCTGTTAGAACCCAGGTTTGCACACCTTGGCTCAGAGGTGCACGGACACTCTGCTGGTACCCAGCCATAGGATCAGGAGTGGCAGCAGTTCCCCAGCCCTGAAAACACAAGTGCCAGAGCTGCACCAAAGCCACGACAGCCTGATGCAATTCTGCTGTAGTGAATGGAGAGCAAAAATCAGAATTTAATGTCTACATTTTTAAATAGTTCTTTCCATGCTAATAAGAGCAAGCTGCATTAAAAGCCATCCTCTTCTGCCATAACTCTGCTCCTAAGATCAGGAATGTTGAATGTGTAGGGATTATACAGGAAGCAAATATTTATATCATTTTTAATTTAGTTGTAATAGTAATCTCATTTTAATGTGTTCTTAATGATCATTAAACTTCACTTTTGTAGCCTTTGGTTTCTATAAAACTAAACATGTCAAATTGAGTGTCAGAGTCAGTGTATTTGTGAACTTTCTATTGCCCAAATGAACTGCAGTTGTGTATATGAAATAAAATAATTCCATTAAACAACTGTTGCTCATGTAACTGTATCTAAAACGTGAATTTGCTCCCTGAAATCCACTAAAAATGAACTATTACAAAATTCGTTATAGACATGAAAAAGAAGCGGACACCTTTCCAGCTGTCCAGTTTAAACTGATTTTGTCAACGTGTTTAATTTGTTCAGCATTGATAAATTTTCAACACATGGGCCAGTGATCCACCAAAAAGCCCAATATTGGTCTTGGAAGTCAGAAAGTGATTCAGACAGACACCTTAAGAAATGAAGACACCCCCAACCTAAGGATGGCTGCTGTGGCTGTCGCACTGACCCGGAAGCCTTCACTGCATTCACCTCTCCATGCCAAGCTCTTGTCTCTTTTACTGGTTCTAGGAGATGGGATTTTTCAGGATTATTTCCAAATCAAACTGTTACAGTGAGCGCCAGTCGTGGATTAAGACTTCCTCTGTGGGGTAATGTAAATGATGGCATGGAGACCATAAAGTGTTTAACCCTTACTGCTGTCGAAGCGCAATGAAGGGCTTTGACTTGCCCAGATTTGTTGTGTTATATGCATTAATCTGTTGAAAACTGTTATTTTACTGAGAGTCGAAAGCCCTCCCTAACTGAAATCTCGTGCCTTTGCTTCAGAAACAGGAGTGCAGCTATTTTCAGGATGGCACTGGGGGAAAGTTCCTGTGCTGTCCTTCAAAAAACCAACACATTTTGTGTTTGAACTTCCATGGCCCCATTGTTCACCTTTCAAAGCCTAAGGGTTATCACCCTAATATTTCTAAATCCAGCTGAAAGTTAGGCTGCGGTGTGGCAGACACCGTAAAAGTGAGACTGAAAGAAGCAAGTTCTGCACTGGAGACCTCGCAATTGAATGTGTAGGAAACCAGTCATCTTTCAGC